TCAGGGCTGCGGCTGGGCCAGGTGCTGTGGGCCTGCGGGTCCCCGTTCGGCGCCCTCTGCCCAGACATCTTCCTCAACACACTGAGCCGTGGCGTGGTGAGCAACCTGGCTGGGCCCGGCAACGCCCTGGTCCTCACCGACGCCCGCTGCCTGCCTGGCACTGAGGGCGCGGGCGTCTTTGCCGCCTGCCGCCCTCTGCCCAGACATCTTCCTCAACACACTGAGCCGTGGCGTGGTGAGCAACCTGGCTGGGCCCGGCAACGCCCTGGTCCTCACCGACGCCCGCTGCCTGCCTGGCACTGAGGGCGCGGGCGTCTTTGCCGCCTGCCCTGATGGGCCGCGTCTGGTGGGCGTCGTGGCAGCGCCGCTGTGCTGCAAGGCCGGCCAGTGGCCAGCCAGGTGGCCACAGCTGGTTGTGGAGCCCCTGGGGAAGGCGCCGGAGCCGAGACGGCAGGTCCTGCCCCCCACGGTGCTGGTGGAGTGTGGCGCCGTCTGGGGCTCGGGTGTTGCAGTGAAGCCAAGGCTGGTGCTGACCTGCCGACACGTGGTGAGCCAGGACTCGGCCGTCTGCGTGAGGGTGTGGCCCAGCCCTGAAACGTAAGCCTCCGCCCCACTCCCTTTAACATTTCCTGTCTAACTTAAATTAGATGCTTAAATGCCTGACACCCAGCACTGATTACTTTGTATTCTGGCTAGATGTGATATATCTGTAACTGTAAGCATAGACTTTGTAACTGACTGTTGTCTCTATATTTCTGTACCAGGAAGTGTGGAGGGGAAGCTACTGTCAGAGCTGCTGCCATTTGGCAGAAGCAAGTCCGCTTGGGGCTGCTAAAAACACAGCCTGACAGTGCTGTGTACATTGCTTATGCTGCTGTAGGTCCTCTGCTGTTGACTAGCTTCCTTCCTTTTCAAACCCTGTAATAGGGAGTTTTGAGGATGCACATATTGCAGCACAGACTGGACTTTACGCTTGGTTTGAGGAAGTGCTGACTCCAAATAAGTTCATAACCTTTGTTGGTTCTGAGGCCGTGCACTTAGAGTACACTGTTGTGCATTTCTAGTCACTTTTTCACTCTGGGGCTCATGAAGGTAATTCAACTGTGTAGCAAGCAGTCACAAACAGGTAAAGTGCCTCTGAAAAAGACACAGTAACTAATTTATGCAAATTGCAGAGATGCACACAAGACAACATTTGCACTTCAAGCCCTATAGATTTACTAAATGAGCAAGACATCAGCCTGGGAAATTAAAGGATTTCAGTGTTCTGTAAACAACTTCCTGTGCCCAGATGTTCTCTCATTGAACTTTGGATTAAAAGGAAACTTATAAGTTTGATGAAATGTAAGTTTGGAAGGGTTCAAAATAGAAGAGTTTGACTAGCTTCTAGACCACAAACCAAGTATTACAAAAGAAAGTGCACATCTTCTCTCCATCTCAAGTGACACCCAGCAGCCAAACTGGAAGTAACGTAGGACTGTTTTGGGACCCACCTTCCAGTGCTGCTGGAAGCTTGGAGATGAGTTTGAATCAACAGTGGGGAAGAATGAGGGTGAGAGCTTCAAAGCTGCAAGGTGCTTCTGCAGTCTTACTCTGGTAGACCAGCAGTATTTAGAACAGCTGTCAAACTCATCCGGCCCCACTGGCTGGATGACAGTCATTGGGCCAGGCTGTGGGCTGGATGAACTGTGCCAGAGCTAGCATGCAGGGCAGGTCTGCTAGGGCACCACATGCAGCATGCACCCCCTGTCGACCACGTGTAGAGTGAGGGAGGCCTGGTGCAAGGCCAACACGTGAAACATGGCTTGTGAAGCTGGACCAGCAGCATGTGTGGGACACAGCACAGGGCACAAGCTGCATGCAGGGCCCACAGTTTTAAAGGTGGACAAATAGGTATGCACTGGCTCCACTGTGGCCCAGTCTAGACTGGCCCTGGAGCCAACACATAGCACACCCCAGACCAATTCCTTGTGCTGCATGAGCAGCACCAGGTCCAGCCCCCCTACTAGATCAGCTCTGTGCTCTGCATCCTGCATATATGTGGTCAGTCAGAGACCCATGGGCTGAATCATGAGGCTCCACAGACTAAGTTTGGCACCCTTCATTTAGAGCATCTGTGCAAAAGGGGCTTCTCCGCTTAACTGAGGTATTGGCCGCTAGTGAGGACACGCTAGTGAATTGCTGCTCCTGCTATTGTGTGTCAATAATAATGACCAATCCTAGGGCTTTTAACAGCTTTGAAGGGGTTTGTCTCAGATCATCCAGCCCATGTGGAGGGAGTG